ATATATAATATACTTTTCATGATAATGGACATCCTTATCATGAATCCATGATTGGCTAATTGAAATTCTAATAATTAATATTAGGTCTGTAATTTAATGTTTGTTTGAACAGAAGAGTGCAGTATCAGTAGGGAGAATATATACAGACCCAACTGTGCATCGATTTCTATTCTGCAATTGAATATAAACTACTCAATATGTATATATATACACACACACACATATATAACAATTGCTTTATTTTCAAGTTTTTGAAAATATATATATGTTAAAGATGAAGAACACTATAATATTAAAAGAAAAAAAAAAGTAAAATAGAGTGCTAAAGATAAAGAAAATTATATTATTAAAGGGAAAATAAATTGAGATATTAGTAAAAAAAAAAAAATGAATTAGGGTATTGATGGGACGTAAATTAAGTTAAATTGATATATTATATCATTTATAATTAATTATTTATTTCATTTTTTTATTCTGAAAATTTTGTACGTATAGATGTATAATATTTAACGAAATATATATTAATTAAAACATTATTTTTAACGACATATATATATATATATATATTATTAGAAATTAACCCATTACCAATCTCATGCCCTTTTTTTCTTTTTTTGGCAATTTGCATAATTTTAATCCAACTTATACAAAGAGTTACTTTGGGTACTAAGTTTTTTCTATTTTTTGGAATGTACAAATTTTAATAATTAGTCTAAAATCATGATAAAACTCAAGTTCTACGGCTAGCTAATGTGTTTAAATAAAATATTTCTATAAAATTTTGTTTTTTTTTTTTTGGGTTTTTGTTTGGTTCACTTAATTGATATAAAAGACTAAAAGTTTAATATTACGAGACACTTCTAGTAATAGAAAGTAGCTTCCAAAGTAATGTGTACAAAACAATTGTCCATGGAAATTAAAGCATCAATCAACTTTTTCATTGCTTAGTTTGAAAAATATGATATAGATGGAGCCATTATTGAAAAGACCTACAAATAATTTACTATGATTTGGTACCTATATAAATACATACATATATATATATATACACACACACATACCTATATATAATATATATATATATAGAGAGAGAGAGAGAAATATAAAATTGGGATTTACTTTAGCAAGAACAATATTTACACGTAATCTATTAAGGAGGATAGAGGGTAGTTCCAAGCTTTGATAAATTATAATTATATACGTGTTAGATATATTAACATAATTCTTATTTTATGATTATTAGGATTTAATTTGATTTTTTTTAGAGAATAACCAAACAAAATTGAAATTTGATTATTGATTAATAATGCATTATATAAATTTATAAGAACTTCTCTTCTCTTCGTTAATTTACTATTTAAGAAACCTAAACTAAATTATAATTATAATTATAAAATAAAATAAAAAAAAACTCATCACCAAATTAACTAATTAATAAAACTTTTCACACTCCCCCTCCCAAAAAAAAAAAAAGGCACCCCATTGTGCTCATTGTGGATCTTTCCGGGTCATGGGCTGGATCCTAGGCCCATAACTAAGTCCAAAATGGGCCTGCCAATTATTATCCATGTAATTTCTAACCTCCTGGGCTATCATCCGTTGCACTATGCTAAGCAAACTCTCTTCCATCTCCACCGTTAATCTCTCCTCTACTTCTTCTTCCTCTTCCTCTTCCTCCTCCTCCTCCTCCTCCTCCTCCACCTCCTCCTCCTCCTCGGCAGCCAGAGAGACAACTCCTTTTCCTGGAGGCGATAGGCTCAGTGAAGTCTCGGGGCCGTCAAATGCTGGGACACTGCTGTAATCTCCGTGCTCCTGCGGTCCATGCAAGCATTGCCTTTTACTACTGTTGCCGTTCATGACCAATGAGGAGTTCGATCTGGAGTGATTCTGAGTGCCGACGCCTGAGCGTTTCCGGCGAAGCGTGGAGTTCCAGTGATTCTTGATGGCGTTATCGGTGCGGCCAGGGAGAAGGCGGGCGATGGTGGCCCATTTGTTCCCGTGGATGGCGTGGGCGCGGAGGATGACGGCGTCCTCGGTAGGGGTAAAAGGTCGGTGCTGGACGGCGGGATTTAGCTGGTTGCACCACCGGAGGCGGCAGGACTTGCCGGATCTCCCGGGAATCCCGGCGCTTATGACTGTCCAGTTTCTGGCTCCGTGCTCCTCCACAGCTTCATCAACGCCACATCCTCGCCGTGCTCCACGACCCCTTCACTTTATCTTCGTCGCTGCTGCCACAGCCTCCGGTACCATTACCGGCGACGACGTCGTTTTCTCTCTTCATCATTATCATCAAAAAGCCAGATCGGATATATATACAAATACACACAGAGAGAATAATCGGAAGAAGAAAAAGGGTTTATTAACTTCCGTGGTTGGAAATTGAAGAGAATAATGGATTTATATGTACATATGAAATTATATAAACTGCAAATTAAGGGGCTCGTTGAAATGAAAAAAAGACATTGAAGAGATGGTTTATAACTTATGACGCGTTTTATTTCGTTTTTATTTTCTGGTTAAGTAATTAATTTGCATGGATTAGTAAAATGGTTGAGTTGAAGTTGAAGGTGGGTGGGAGAGAGAGAGGGAGTTATAAGTTATAACGGACTTTTAAAAATAACGGGTTTTTGTTTAGGGGGATTTTAGTTTTTATTAGTGTTCAACGGATAGTACGGCTTTGAAACTGTGACGGTTAGGTTTCTGTTACCTGTGTTTATCTTAATTCTTTCGAATATTTAAAAAAAAAAAAAAAAAAACAAGAATGTTCACAGTTATTTTTTTTTCCTTCTAAATTTATTTTCTCTTAAAAATATACTATCAATATATATATATATATATATATATAAATACCCACGAGTTAAAATGATGACAAGTGGGTCTTTAGTAATTTGTTAAATTTTAAATTTTAATATAATTATTTATGGATTATCTTAACTTTTTATTAATCAAAAAATATAATCAACTTTTTTGATGAATTATTTTGGTAAATTAGATTATTTTTGGTCTAATTATCAACCATTTTCCTAATAAATTCATATCACAAGTACAAAAAGTCAATTTCCTCCACTCATTAAGCACTAGAATCTAGCTTTTGGTTTGACAGGAATTACTCTATTTTCTCATATTTAATTAATTATATAACTTGGTTAATTTTAAATTAAGGACTAATCACTATGTTTAATTATGGTATGACTTTGTAAGTATTTCGTTTAAATTAATTACTCAATTCTTATTATACAATTAGTTTATGAGTTTTCTGAAAATTTTGCTGAGATTAGCGGGTTGACAAAATTTTCTTATGATTTATTTCTGACAAAAAAGCACCAAAATTTAATTAATTCATTACACAAAATACATTTATTTTTTTAAATAAAAACATAAGATACATTTAGCTATAGATAGAATAGAAATAAAACTAAAATTAAATAAATAATTTCATAATGCTAAGTTCATGTTATATCAGGAAAGAAGATAATTAATTAATTAATAATGGACCTATGGTGATTAAATTATGTTTTATTTTAAAAAATTATGAAATATTTGTGCAAAAAAAATATTTTATTGTATAAATAATGGATTTATTTATTTAAATCAAGATTGGAGATTTTATAGAGATCATGTATAAAGATAGTGTAAGTGTGACAAGGATTTTTTGGTTAATTTTGTTTTAAATTAGTGGAGGATTATCATATTTATAAGGAAGAAAAATAAATAATTATTTTAGGTAAGGCAAAAGTGCGTTTTCTGGTAACCAAATATGTGTCCAATTCTATATTTAGTATCAATTTTATTTTTATTTTATTTTATAAAAAAAAGGTTTAAAAGTATTTCTAAATTAATTTTAACACTTTAGAAATATATATATATATTTTTTATCAATGTATATTCTTCTTTCTTGACACATATATTTAGAATGTTATTTTTAAAATATTACCCAAAAAGTCTAAGTGTATGAATTTAAAATTTTAAAATTTTTTAGTAAGAATTATCTTCAAATTTATACTTAATTCTTGCATCATTTTTTTTTTTAATCTAAATGAATTCTACCATATAATTTTTTGATTTATTTTAAAACATAATTTACATTGATAATATAGATATATATTTGATCTACACTTCACTCTCAAAATAGTAAATAAAGAAAAATTTCAAACTCATACACGGATTCAAGAGCAATTTTTTTCCAATATGCATGTCATATATATAGATGTATCTACTTAATATTTAGTGAAGAAGGGAAAAAGAAAAATTTTGGGGAGAGAATTACGTATGTTGTAGTGTGTACGTATAGGTGGTGGTTTGATCATTGATGAGAGAAATTAGAAGGCAAGAAAAGTCTCTGCCTCTTGCTTCTAATCCGGCAATTTGAAGTTACAGAAGAAGAAGCAATCCTACTGAGAAAAACATTTAAGGACTGTCTAAGAGTACTCATTGACACGCTTCCCTTAGTGGACATCACCAAATTGCTCCTCATTCTTCCTCCAACACTTGATATGTCAGCCCTGACAATGCTCATTTTCAGGCCTTTTAGGACTCGTATTAGCTCGGAAAATACCTCTGGCCGATCATCACAGCAGAGGGTTGCCCTGAAGAAGGCGCTCTCACTGCTCCCCTTTGAATCGGCCGCACAGTCGTCCACAGTCACTTCATCAACTTCTGTTGGGACACTCAGTGCTTTGCTCGCTTCTGTTGCTTTTCTCTTCAGATCCTTCACTTGTTCTATTACGCTCCCTAGCAGAGCTGCCTTGTCCATCTGCAGATTTGGATAATAAAACAAATGAAGATTCGGTTTCTTGATTTGGAAATCGAAGAATCAAACAAATGAAGATTCGGTTTGTTTGGTTTGGGAAATTGAAAAACAAAACAAATCAAGATTCGGTTTCTTGATTTGGAAATCAAAGGTAACGCTATTTTTGAAATAAATTCATAAATTTAGTATTGATTCAAGTGGAAGGCGATGAATTCAAATGCTATTACAATAATGCATTCCAGATTTCCCCAATAAATTTTGCCTAAATTCATGAATTAGACACCACCCGTGATCGCATTTTTTTTAGCTTATTAGAAGAGCAATACCACTGTTGGTAGATCTCATAGATCGAAATTTTCCTTCTTTTAACAAGTTGATCAATGATTTTATGATCCTCCTGGTTTAATCCAGACCTAATAGATGTACAATTCATCTATCATTCGATTGCTAAGGAGCATGTAGGCACCCGAATTGAATTGAGTCGAAGTAAACCAAATGGTTAGGTATTAAATTGAACCAAACTGGGGATTAGTGTAAATTATAGAGTAAGAGAAGAATCATCAGTTTAATTTTACCTTATCAGACTTAGGGATGAGTTTTCTGAGAGTGGCAAGCTGAGCATTGATCCTGTCCCTTCGTCTCTTCTCGGCTTGGCTATGGCTCTTCGACACCGATGCGGCCTTGTCTTCTGCAACTCCTTCGACTGGAATTGACCACGAAGGGCATCCATGGAGCTGGACCGAGTCAGGAGAGGCCGAAACGCAAGGAGGTACCGACCATGGAAATAGACATCGAGACTCACCATCGTTGGAATCTGAGAAATTAGTAAGTTCAGGCCAAGCAGAATGATAAAAGTAAGAATTCTCCATGGATGACAGGTATGCTCTGAAATATAAGAAAGAAGAGCAGTTATCTATGATTGTGTATGTGTATATATATATATATGTTACGCGTATTTTATATATGTAAAAAATTCTTTCTGGGTTTCTTCTAAAACCTAACAAATAACAAGTCTCTGGCTTTTATGAAGGCATCCATCCATAAGCAAAAGAGAGCTTCACTGTTTTATGCACTAATAATTTTGTGATCTTCATTATCTTGATGGTGATTGGTGTGATATGTAGAGACCTTTAATTGGTCAAATGAAAATCTTCTTTGGCGGTATCCGGCTGTCATTTCAATATGAACTTCCTTTTTGACGATTTGTATCAAAGTAATTCATGGCATTTTAAGGATTATAATGAAGCATGGATAAACAAGAAATTAAATTGTGTTTTAGCAGATTATAATGAGAAATTTTGATAATAAGGTAAGTGGGTAGATATAGAACATCAATCTGTTTCATCACAGAAGCATTAGATATTATGAATAATTTTTGAAAAATTTTCTTGTTCCCTGGTGCTTATCCAGTAAGAATTTTTTTTTTTAAAATTTATTATTAAAATTTTAATAAGAAAAATACAATGTAGAAAAGTTAAAACTTAAAATAATAAAAGAGTAACAACATCTTTTTTTTTTCTCTTTTTTCCTGCAGACACAAAAGATGTGGGTGAACCCACAAGCAATTTTTTTTTTTTTTTTTTTTTGCTTTAGTATTGTATTTGCTAATCTCTTTGTCACAATCATTCAACTCTTTTAAGGCAGTACTTTTATTTTTTATTTTTTCTCTCCATCTTTTTTTCTTCTACCCTCCAATATACTGGGTGAATCAGCTTGGCCGAGTTCTTGAATGTAGCCACAGTTACATTCACCACTGTGCCCATTACATGGACTTTCACATTTCAGGTTGAGTTGTATTGCATACTGGGAAATATTTCAATTAGATTTTATATGAAGAATTTAACAATAACATGTTAGTGTTGTGGTTCAGATTTTAATACTTTGTTTGAAAGATACGAGTTAAATTCTTATTTCTACTTAGTCGATCATCGTCAATGTATAATATATTTACAAAATAATAAATTTTATGTTCTTAATAAAATTTAAATTAATAACCTTCAAAGTAAAACACGGGTCATAATGTCGGGCAGCTCTTTAAAGAACTGTTTCTTTAGATAAAATTTTCTTGAATCCACTTAGATTTCCATCTATCAGTACAAAGTCAAGTTGATGCCAAAGTGGCCACTCATTTTTTAATTTTTGGTGGCTTATTTTGTCCAGTTTCATTTGGTTGCATCTGTGCTCAAGAACTATTGAAGTCCTACTGTCCTACGCAAGCAAACAAGAGAACTTCAATTACAATCACCAATTGGTCACTTTGTAGGGTAGGGTCAATAATAATAACAACGACAATAAGATTCAAGGCAGCATTTTCATCTCAACCAACAAAAGAAAAAGGACTATAAAGATTGATACCGAACATTGATCAATCAACCCATTTATACTCCCAAGTTCTCTCTCAGTATCCACTGCTGATAATGATCTCTTTTTTCTTTTTTTTTTTTCTTTAATTTTTCCCTTCCAAAACCCATGTTTTGAAGATCAAAAAGGAGGAAAGAAGAAGGGTTCTCCAGATCTTCTCACATAAATCATATATATACATATATATATATATATCACAATGAAAATGTGCTAAATCTAGCTACATATTTTCTTAATGAACTTGACTACAAAAGATCTTATCAAACAATCTAACTGCTCAAGTTGGCTTCAACTGTACTCTGGGATGAGCTTTAGAGATTATTAGGATCTTCTACGACAAATCGAAACGATTATATGTATCTATACGTGTGTATGGGGTCGATAAAAGTTTACATCCATATAGTAAACAAGCTGCAACCAGAAGGAACTGGGGGGAAGGGAGAGGAGTGAGAGGGAAGGGATAAACCATGAATGAGAAGCAGGCCCAGCATAAGCACATGCTGGCATCACATCATATAATGACTTTTTTTCCATTTACGGTACATCTCGGTATTCCATTGCTAATTTAAGCAAAGCATGCATCACACGGGAACATTAGAGTATAATTTTTGAACCATAAAATTCAATGATATGATAACAAGATTCCTTGTCTAAGAAGGAAATCAAAAATAGGGATGCCCACCTGATGTAATGTCCAACCACGAGGTAGAGGTAAATGTTAGAATATTGGCGCAAATCATGCTCAAAATTAGGTCATACAAGGATACAAATCAAGTGCACGAAGTAAAGTGAAGAGCCCACCAGTAAACTGTATTCTCGGTGAATTAGCTTAGATGTGTCAAGCACTCTTACTAACATGTTGTCAAAGTAATCATAGAGTAGTTAGGCATCCTGTGTCGAAAAAAAAGTCTGCAATAAAATCAGACCTAAATCTGATATTGAGAGTTCAGCTACTTGACAGCACAGCAAAACATGATTTATGTGCTCCTTTCAAAAGATATGGCGGCAAGATATACGGAGGCACCGTCTTTCTATATTTTCCATCAAATGGAATCCTACGAAACATCACGACTAATGATCACACGAGTATATGCTTCTACTTTTAAGTATTTTCAAGAACATTTCACTGCAGAAGAGGATAAAGATAAAGTGCAACTGAAGCAGTAAAAGCTTTACCTCTAGGGTTAGTACATGTAAATAGAAGTTCGGTTGAGTAAAGATTCAGCAAAGCCAGACTCAATTCTTCGGATGAAGTAGCCTATGGGAGAGTGGAGTCAGAAGGAATTGAATAGCTTCTATCACATTTATTTGATTAGTTAGGCATAAAATTTCACTGAAGAAAAGCTCTTACAGATAGAACAAATTAAATATCGATATGTACATTCATGTATTTCTGTTGACTGTGAATAGTTTGCAGAAGATAAGCATCAAAGGTACCTCAAGCAAGGATAGGTTTTGATCTTCAATGGAAGTATTGAGGAGGTAGCTCATTAAGAGAATGCAAAATAACACTGCGTTTAACCTCAATATTCATTAAAATGTATTGCACCAACTTTCCAGACTATGTAAGTAGTTGTAAACATTACTGTGCTGATGAAAACAAATGAAAAGGCAATGATGAATAGATCCATCCCTCCAGGAAACTGAAAAGTCAGACCCTGCTTTGGCAATCCACGGTCCCTGTCATCAAACAAGTTCGTAGGAGCTTCTGGGAGGCCAGATCTCTTCTTTCCCTTCTCACTTTCTGTAAGCGCATCCAGCACTTTGTTGCCCATTGCTGATTTAGATAACTTTGTTTCATTGTAACGGCTGAGAACCCTGGCTGCCCGTAGTCTCTCTCTTGCTGTTAGAGGTGATCTTTTGGCTGTAGATTGCAAGTTCGGAGATTGAACCACCTCCTGCTTTAGATCTGAAGAAACAATAGAACCATTAAGAGCATCAGACGTTTGAGACCCTGACTTGTCCCCAACACTAGTTTGGATCTGACCACTTTGTCCCAGAGAATCAGAAGAGGAGGGCTTAACAGTAGAATCAGAAACAAATTTTGTAGCATCTGCTGTACCCGTATCACCATTCTCGGTGGCAAGACAATCACTATCTGCTATGGAACAAGGTAAGATTAAACTTCTTTTCTTCAAAGGCCTCCTAAGACCATACACCCAGAAGGACGATGCCAATTGGGTAAGCTTTGATGTTGATGCGTTGATTGAATATCTCGAGAAATGATGAGATTTTGCTTGGAACTTTTAACAGAGAAACATTTTGGCAAATAATCAGCATAAGGATAGAAGTCGCCAATATATTCCTAGAGAACATTATGTAAAAGAAGTCACCAAGCTTTCTCACACCAGCACGACACAGCATACAAACAAATAGTCAAGTTCCATCAATTGGGCTCCATAAACATTTATTTCTAGGACCTTGATCCCTCCTTATCATCAACTCATGGTTAGGAAAACTCGTTAAGCCATTAAAGATCAAATACACCCCAAAAGCACCAGCAGCACATGAAGGTCTATACACAGATAAAATGTCCTAACAAAATTTCACTAAGGAGGCGTGAATTGGCGCACTTATTGTCATAAAAACTCAAATAGAAAGAAAATCTACGTTAACAAGCTGAATTTAGCAAAAATCCCTCTCCTTGTGATCCAAAATTTAGTTAATTACTTATCGAGTATTGTTTCAGCTCAAGAACATCTAATATTTTCAGATTATATAGTAATTACAGGAAAATAATAAGTTAATAAAGGCTGATAAAACTCGAAACAAAGAGACATTAGCTACTTGAGCTGACAATAACAGAGTACTAGTAGATTTTATTTTTTGGAAAAAAAAAAATAAGCAAAAAATAAATAGAAACCACCATTTCTATGAGACCAGAAACTCACCGTGGAATTTAAGGCGACGATTGAATTCAGAGAAATCGCCATTTTTATTATTGTGGATTCTTCAGGGGCCGAACATGCAGGAAGCGGGGGGGACGGGTAAGAGAATCTAAGCCTGCGGGGTTTGTGGCAAGGAAGTGAACCACAACGGAGAAGATGAAATATCTGTTTCAATGTCCACAGCCCCTTATGGCGCGTGGTTCCGACGCGGGAGCCTTTTCCGTACGGTTCCTGTGTATATAGCCGTAAACACGGGCTTTAAATTTTGGTCTTGTTCAGCATGTTTAAGTCCTCTACTTTGCTCACACCGGTAACTACTACTCATGAGTTAAATTTACTTCTTCCTTGGACACTTTCTTCCTTAAATCGCTAAAATCATCGTAAGAAAAAAAAAATGTCTCTTCGTGTTATTTACCTTCATTAGTAGGTTTTCCATTAGTTAGCGGATTGGAAATATGTAAAAAGGGATGATAAAGTTGATGTTAGCAGAGAATCCAGTAAGAAGCCAGGAAAGGAGGAGAAAAATTATATTGACGCAGTAACTACGGTATCATAACTGCGAAGAATTAATCAATGACGCGGATCAATATTGGTTATTGATGTCTTTTTAAGTGAGGCGAAATTTAGTTTAGCAATTAACTGAACCCTTCTTTTAAAATCATTAAGGAGACTTTAACCGGATCCTTTACTTATAGCTTCCTACCTACGACTGCAGGAGGTCGTTTCCATAATCTTTCATTTGTTATTTTCTCACTTATTTTTCTGATTTGTAAGAGACATTTAAATAAAGGTTTTTTTTTACGTGCATTTACTGAATCGAGCTTTTTCAACTGATTATGTACATAGCGCTTTCAATCTTAGCAAATTTTTTCTAGAAACCTGATGCAATCTTCATACTCAATCTAAAATCATAGAGCTCATGACCAAATGAAAAAGAAAGCACAAACATGCGTTTTCATGAGTTCCACGTTTCATAATCAGCATTCAGATGGTACTACTTCAACTAATCAGTTCCAAATTCTTTGTAGACTTAAAAAGGTTATATTTAAAGGTTATAAACAACACAAAGTCTAATTTAAGGATAAGATAAAAACCAAAAACATCATGAAGGGAAAATTAACAACAGTTTTGAGATTTGAGCAATTCAGTAGAAAGCCTCACCATAAGCACCATAAATCGTTAAAGCCAACAAGATTATGATTCTTGAATGATTGTGGGAAAGACAGCAAAACCAGTTTGTGTTTATGATCAAAGTATGAAAAGTTTCGTATTATACTTGACCAAGCCCTTAACCCAGAAAAGAACAATTTTGGAATTACTACAAATACATGAAATCCTCGGCTCGCTTTCTATCAGCAGCCAAAAAATGCCTCTGCTAAACAAAAGAATATTACAAAACATATCCACACTGCTAAAATGATTGAGGTAAAATAAATGTCAATTATTAAACTAGACTGGTTTCAACCCTACTTGACACAAGGAACACGAAAAAGATCTTTTAAGAACAAAAGGCCCGACAAAACACCCCCAGATCCAAAGCCCAAAACTGCTAGGTGTTTCCTCCCTATTCTTGTTCATCGAGCAAAAAGATGACTGGGTAATTTCCTTTAGAAATGATCGTGGCTCCATTATTAGTAATTACCCATTGGTGGCATGCCAAAAGGAGGCATTGGAGGCATCCCCATGCCCGGCATTGGTGGAGGGGGAGCAAAGCCTCCTCCCATCCCAGGTGGGCCACCCATTCCTGGCATTGGGGGTGCAGGCAAAGCAAGGGGTAATAATTGAGCATACATGTTCTGCAACAGAGAAAAAGGAAATTGGTGAAGTGAAATGAATCTGGGCAAAGCATTACATAGATGCAGTTGCAAACCAATGGGTCAAGCCTCTGACATGCTTCGAGAGTACCAACATGCCATGCAAACGAACCAAACATTTTTCTTGGTGACAGGAAAAAGCATTACCTGCTGTGCAATAACGTCCTTCTCTTCCTGCTCCTTAGCCTTAACTTCTTTAAGAGCTTCAAGCTTTTCCTTCACTAGGTCATCAACTTTGCATGTGTATTCGCGGATGAACTGAAAGGGAAGAAAAAAGATCAGAGAACCACTAAATTCATACACGGGTTTCATCTTGTACAGAAAAGGATCAGGCGCTGAGAAAGAGAATGCTCATGTGAAATACTCTACAACATGGCAACAACTAGTAACCTAAAGATACCTAATTCCACAAAACGAAACCCCAGTAAGGCACCGGATGATAGGATAGAGCAAAACTAGTTACCATACTATGTCAAAATCCAACACCTAAGCATACTTGGGTCATTTTTATAGAAAAGGATCAGGAGCTGAGTAAAAGGATGCTCATGTCAAATACTCTCCAACACTCAACACCTAGCCTAACGATGCCTAATTTAACAAAATGGAACCCCCAGGACAGCACTGGATGCAGGATAGGGCAAAACTAATAAGCATTCGTCAACATCCAACACCTAAGCACGTCTACCCCTCGGGCCTTACTCCAGCAATGTACTAAGACCAAGTGACAAAAAAGGTATGAAGGGTTAGAGATCCACCTAGAAACTCCTAGCCCTGTCAGGAAAGATGCCAACTATCTCTTGTTTTTATGAACTACAAAAAACATACAGAGGATCAAATAAACAGAAATTTGACTCCTCTTTTTTTTAAAAAATAACAGAATTTGGCTACTCTTATAATAAAAATTTCACCAAGGTCACAAGACGAGACCAAAGTTCCTGAAGATTGGAGCCTAACAATGAGTGCATGAATCAAGGTTGTCCTAATTAACATGATGCATCTGCAGTTCGTTTGATAAAGATTAAAAAACATGTAATAGCTAGAGAAACAAAGAAATCACCTGCAACAGATATGGGAAAGCAAAGTCAAGCATATTGTTGATCCAGGCAAGTTCAAAAGCAACATCTGGTCGAATCAAATCATAACAAACAAAGAGGCATGATGCAAAACACTCCTTCTTGCCCTGCACAAGCCCAAAAAAAATCATTTTAAATTAATATATTGCATGTATAAAAGAATAATATGGTAATGAATGAGGAAAAAAAGTATAGTCCAACTTTGATCACCTAAGCTACATTAAGCTATTTCTATGAAACAGAAAATTGAACATCACAGAAATGATAATTGACCAAGGATATGAAATGTCCCAACTGATATCTTGGTGCTGCTCCAGCAACATATACAAGGTATTCCAGGCATAAAAAACTAATCAAGATACCGCACTATCATAGTAGTGTTCCAAGCTTACACATAAAAACCCCTTTTTCACATGCTGGAATTATTTGAAAATGAAATAAATATGCATCCACCATCAAACACGAATTTTGTTGCACTTAAAGTACCTGCTCAATGAAATAAACAAGCAACTCCTCTGCAAGTTCACGGTCACCAGATTGTGAAGCTGTCTCCATGGCATCCTTGTACAGGTTATCCTTCTTTGACAATGAAATGGACTGCTTCCATCTGCCAGCCTTTTTGTAGATATAAGCAGCAACACGTCTCATCTCAAGGAGCTCATGTTTCTCAATCTGCCCAAACCATTCCAAAAAGGCTTACAATGTGAGACTTTCTAAAAGACGACAACCAAAATAGTTAATAGCTGAAACGCACCTTCTGTGCAAGGCCAATTTGATCAAAGCTATCATGCAGATCGATAGACTCACGCAACCTGTCATAGTCCTCCTCCTCTACATAAATCTCATTCAATGCTTCATTGACAGCAGATACATTGTTACTTTGGACAGCAACCATGTATGGCTTGATAAGACGCAAGTGACCAGCCTGAAACACACCAACAGTTCTCAATGAAATTAGACCCATAAAAGAAAAACAGTTACTTCCGAACAGAGATTATCTCCCAGCATGAACAGACCTTTCGCATAATGTCAACAACGCGTGTGTGGTCCAATCTGAGTGCAAGCACATTGAGAAGATCGTTGATGATATCAGGATGTTCTTGCAAGTAGAAATGCACTGCCTTGTAATATAGCTCCACATTAGCAACTTTGACAACAATATCTTTGAACTGCATGTGATCCCATGCTTCAGGGGAGTGATTCATGACAGTCGTTGCCGCATTGTCAAACTCATCATATTGGATATATAGATAAGTAAGTTCTTTCCAGTGCTGTTGTTCATCACAAGCTCTAATAAGTTTGGGAATGTTGAGACGGGTTGAAAACAATTTGATATGTTCCATCAGTTTCTCATAACGGTATCTGGCATAAAGAACTCCCAACTCAGTAAAGATGCCCATGTGTGCACGTTCTAAACCTAAACCACTCTCCATTAGAGAGATTAATTCATTGAAGCATCCTCTGTTCTGGTAATATTCACTTACTTCCTCAAGGTCATCCACCTATGAACATAACAACATATCATAATATTATAACATGTGGAATAAAAAGCAACAAACATGATGCATCAATGAAATTATTAAGCATAAAATCCAGTAAGGAAAAAGTTAATTCAAAACAAAAGGCAAAAAAGGGGAAAAAAAAAAGCACCCTCCACCTCCTTTGGCAGGTCCTTAGGCCCAGCGGCCCATGGCAAAGGGGGTCATAACTGAAAGTTTAAAAGGAATACCTGTATAATAATGTTAAGTCCACATATCTGTGCCAAGCGAAACTCTTCTGCATCAACGCATGCAAAGCAAACTTCTTTCCATGTTTTGGCACTGTTGGCTTTTCGTGCTGCATCAACAGCACCTTGGAACTGTTTTAGCTTCACAAGTGTGACAGCCAACTTAGCCCAGTTTGATATGAAGGCATAAATTATTTTTGCAGCTTCGTACAAGGCTTCATCATATAGACGATCACCAACATTTTGAAGATTTGCCACATTTGGCATCAGAATAAATTCTTCAATTTCACCCAATCTATCAATCTTAGCATATGCATATATAAGCTCACTATCCACCTTGGGCTCCTTCACCTTCTGTCTAACCATCATTAGATATCTAACCAAGTCATGGTAGACGTTTGCATCCTCCGCAGCACGAATAACATCAAGGAATTGAGTGGCATCATCAGCCCGAATAAATGACTCAATTGCATCACTAACCAGGCCCTCTCTGAGCTGAGCCTTTGCCACCTGGCTCCAAACAGCATCTTCTTCAACACGAAATGCAAATTCCACTGCCCGTTCAATGCTTCTGATATTGTCTAATAACACATTGACAGCCTGAACGTTTAAGTTAAACTTCTTGAAAATAGCAAACGCTTCCTCATAGAGCTGGGCTTCAACAGCCACCTCTCCTACTGCAGGTCCATCAAAGTTATCTAGTCTGTTAATATAATCCATAACTCTTGATGGGTCTGCCTTAATAGCTGTCAAAATAAGCAGGTTTTGCAGATTGAAGTTCCCACTGAATGCAGAGTTTTGAAGCACAATCTTTTCAAGAAGCTCAATGAGCTCATGTGGAAGATCTGCTGTCATGAATGCTTTAACAGCTGCAGAAACTTGTTCTGGGCTCTTACTTTCTGGTAAAGCAGTAGACACAACTTGATCAATAAGTTGTCTTCTATAGCCATTTTCAGGATCAAGAACCTTGTCCCAGAGCACGGCATCCATCCTTTCAACCACGTACCTGTAATTGAAGGACAAGCAAATGAGACTACCAGCAAAAGTAATACTTATGCACAAATAAACAAATTTAAAATGAAGGGAACCGCATACCTAGCTTGCAATTTGAACAAAGAGTTTTTATTGGTGACATTAATAAGTTCATCATCACATTGACCTCTCCGGTAAGCCACGACTGCCAGGGTGGGATCACGCTTCTCACAATACTTACCAACAACCCGAGAATCATAATAAGGGTTGGTAGTAAGGAAGTGCTCCGGATTGTTATTGCTATCAATAATGATTTTACCCAGGGCATTATGGACATGTACATCTTGGCTTCCCTCACTAACTAAATGCTCCAAGAACTGAGTGAGTAAACGAAGACGGTTTCTGGCAACAAAAATAAACATTAAGACAAACAATTTGAGCTACTAAAAAACCCATAAGGAGTTAAAAAAATTGAGCAAGAACTCAGAGGATGGTAGGAACCACCTCTTTTCACATTCATCCACAAGGGGCTCAACTGGAAGCAAAGATCGGACAGAAAGAATGAGACCCTTAATGAAATCTTCTGGGCATTCATCATCTAGCAGCTGACCAACAACTAAGGGAGCATTTCCAGGGTTCACCTACCAAAAGAATTCACAATTGTTTACATTCAAACTGATATGATCATGCATCAGCGGAGATGGAACAACCATCCATCAGCAGAAGGGAAAAGAGACTACGTAATACCTTCTGGACATATCCTTCAATGTAACGGAGCATGTTATTCGTATAGAGGTAGTGGGTAAGATCTGGAACAAACCCAAAACGATCACAAACATTAATTAGTGGTCGAGCATCAGGAAGCTTGGCTTCCATCAAAAAGTTTTTCGTCTTCTCAGGATCATAGAAGTTTGATTCTCTAGTCACACGCTCCACTTCCTTTATTTGTCCCGTTTTTGCAGCTGCCTCAATGTACTTAAAGTGGATATCAGGATCCTCACTGCTCCACAATTTAAAGAAAAAAAAAACATAAACATTCACACTGACTTGAAACAGTTATAATCCGACCACAGAAACAGAAGGTAAAGATCACCTTGAACTCAAATATGAACCCAGGAAAAAGTACAGCCCCTCATATGACTTGAACTGCTCAAATAGCTTAATGCATGCATCAACACCCAACTGTTCACAGTACTCCTTCGCAGTCTGCAGAAATATGAACATGTTTGTCTCAGCTAATGTAATAGAATTCTTTTAGATACCTCCTTTTTTTCTTGAAACAACCTAACATAATAAATATTATTGACATACAAGAAACAACACCGTTTACCTGCACAATTATCTGAATGTTGCCTCTGAGTTCACTAATAAAAGGTCCTTCATGCACTCCAGGGCCCATTCCCGAGACAGCGAACCAAAAAACTCAACAAGTGCCTGATGCAAAACAAATGATCATCAGCAACTGCTTATTATTCGATTTCAGCAACGAATCTAGCTGAGGATAATATATACCTGTGGCTCAATTGCATGTGTATTTACAATCACACGCTTTAGGTCAGGCAACTCTGTGTAGTGCTGCACGAAAAGGAAAACTGAAATGAGTTTTGTGATATCAACACACAAAAATATAAAAGACCACCTGGGCCGTACTCACCCGCAAAGCTTGCATGTAAAGCCCAGCTTTTTCACAAAGTTGGGCAATTCGAGGACGATCATAGTGAGTAAACATCCCATTGGCTAAAATTGCATCAGCAACATTCGGAAAAGTCACCAGATTGATCTCAAGAACCTACATGTTAGAAAGGAAGAAACAAAATAGTGAATTAACTAACTTAGATAGTTAAGATTCAATAGAATCACTTAGAAACAGAAATTAGATAACCTTGGTTTGGAGATAACCATGTTCTGATAGATTTGGCTTCAAAACATCTAATAGAAACGCTGTTGCCTCACGGATCAAATTCCTCTGAGAAGTACAAAATCAGCAAATTTTTATAAGAAACTCATAAGTAGCCTGGTATTTAGCACAGCGCAAGAATTCTATATAAAACAGCACAAAGCTAGAATTCTTATTGTTTATACACCTGAAGAAAGAGATCTGTAATGGTATTATAATCGAGGGGACAACCTCCTTCCATCTGGGACATCATCAATGCAAAATTGACAGCTCCCTGTAATTCAGAAGCAGAGAATAATTTATTATAAATCAAAACAAAATATTGTTTTCACATGAAACTACTTTCATCCAAATAATATTGAAAACCTGCAATTTTCATTGACAATTGCACATTATCTAAGTGTGCATGTCATGATAGCACATATGATCCCTGTCCTGCTAGATCAGTGCTTGTACAACTCAATATCTTTTAGCCCCTCTAAGACTAATTCAATTACCTGAGGATCCGTCCGAAGTATTGTTTGCAGAAGGAACAAATAATCAGGAGTATATCCAACCTAAAGCAAGAACATTAAGAAAAAAAATCAGTAACCTGGCATCCAATAATGTAAATAAATGAGAACAACAAGAAGATAGATCTTATAGTTGATAAAAAAAGATAGTGTGCTAAAACAATAAAGACATCATGTTATTACCTGCTTTGAATAAATTAAGATTTTGTCAAACTCCCTTCGCTCGGCAAAAGCTGCAACAACTTTTGGAGTTGCTCTAGCTTTAATGTATATTTTAAGAGCAAGATCATTATCCACAGTCTGCAATATCAAAAATCAACATTACCAGAAACGGCATATATATATTTTTTTTGAAATGCCATAAATTAAACTATTAGAAGTTATAGATTCATTTAGTTTTCAATTCTGTATTTCAATCAAACCTTCACTAGGTCTCCAAGTTCCTCACTGCATTCCAACTTATCCTCAGCCAGCCAGTTCTCCAAAAGATTTTTCTTGTTCTGATTCACCACAAGACGAGACAATTCCAATGACTCAA